TGAGCTGTGATGCCACAGTACTCTACCCAGGGGGACAGCTTGAGGCTCTGTCAAAAAAAATAAAAAAATAAAAAAATAAAAATCACAGTTTCAAATAACTCTTGGGTTAAAGAAGAAACTAAAACTAATTTAAAACTACATAGAAATAAATAACAAAGGACACTCTGTATGCCAAAACCTGTAGGGTAAAGCCAAAGTAACACACTGAGGACAATTTGTAGCATGAAGTATACTGTACCAAAAACAAGAAAAAAGTAAAAATAATCATTTATCAATTGAAAGAGTTATACTATGCACAACACGATAACATACCTGAGGAAGAAAAGATAAATAAGAATAAAGGTGGGAGATGGGAAATATCAAAAACTGGGATATAATGGGATGTATCTGTTAAACTCTGTGTTATTTTCCAATATGAAAATAAAACTAAAAATTAAATAGTCTCCAGTTTTCAATTAAAAGACAAACTATCCACACATCTTGCTTTGAGAATAAATATGCTTTGAAAAAAAAATTATGGCCTAAACTCCTCATCTGTAGTTTAGTCAAATGTTAATAGTTGCCACTAAACCTCAGTTTCCTAATCTACAAAGTGGTGATAGTCATCTCGTGTACTCCATGTGTCGTTGAAGATTTCTGTAAGGTTACATATTATATGAAAGCACTTGAAATAGTGCCCAGCAAAGAGCAAGCCCTCAGTAAGTACAGTTAACACGTTATTGGTAATACATAAAAAGAGTGTCCAACTTGATTTGTAGCCTCTTTGTTCTTCTTTGGGCTTTCTTGAGTATAGGGAGTATTCATAAAATTTTGTCAAGTTTAAAAGCATCTCCACCAGAAAGCAGGCAGGCTCTAGAAAAAAGAGAAAGGTCTGCCCTGCAGAAGCTTCATCCAAATAAATAACAATGCAGAAAGACATTAAAATGTAGATTTCAGCTCTCTTTGACCCATTCTATGATAGGTATTGATTTGTAGAAATTTCTTGGGTTTTGTTAATTAAAAGAGGAAACGTGGAAAGAAGTAGATATGTATTAGCTTAGGGCACATTCTTCTTACACAAGTGCCCACTGTCCTCACATGTGTCTCTCTCCACCATGTTTATCAAAAAGCATACACTGCTGAATCCACTTTCACCTCTCAATTCTTGGTTGAGTCTAGACTCTGCATCAAGAAAGCAGTTTTACCCTAATGCACCTAAATAAGTAAGCCCCTTGATGGTGAGAAAAGGTTTTCTCTAGACTCCATTTGTTCCCTGTCTAAAGGTTCCTGGAGGAACCATGGAAGTGATGGAAATCAAGGGTATCTTCCCTGTGGCTTCTCTGCCATCATGCCAATTGCCCAGCAGCCAGACCTGGATATGCTGCTGTCAGCTCAGAGCTAGGGCCCTGCAGCTGTTCTTCACAGGCAGAGAATAGCAGCCTCAGGAGATTGCCAAGGAAACACATGAGCCCTGAGTGTGTCTGTGAGAGAGAGAGAGAGAGGGAGAGAGAGCACACAAACATCCACAGGTAAGAAGGCAGAGGAGTGGGAACCAGTAACAGAACCACAGATCTGAAAGCACAGAGACCCCTGCCTTCAATACACTGGGCTAGTCAAAGGTCATTTCCTTGCTTAGGCTGGAGGATGAGGCTCCCCCATGGAGCCCAGCAGCACAATGTCAAGCTGGAGAACAGGGCCAGAAGGTGGCATGTTTGTCTCCTGGCGGTGATCCTGGGTTCCTGAGAGAGGAGCTGCTTGGAGACTGAAGGCTCAGGTGCTCTGCTGGTTTCCATGGGTGCCCAGCTCCACGGCAACAGCCTCGCCCCACCCTTAGGAAAGTAAAGCTAATTAGCAAACACTGGATTCCTTCCCCTCTGAGCAAAGGGGATGAGCCCATCCTGCGTGAGCAAGGCTTTCTGAACATTAAGCCCCCACATCCTTGCAAACAAGGTTGATCAGAACTTTCTATAATTTATTCTCCTCAGCAGCCCTGTGAGGTTGGCACTATTTGTCCTGTTGAGAAAACTTAAGGCTCATAGAGGGCGATGAACTTGTATAGAGCCACCCAGCTTCTGTGTGCCAGAGCGAACAGGCCAAACAGGCCTTTCAGACCTCAGAGCTTTTATCCGTTCCACAGAGCTATGGCCCACAGTCTGCTCACTTCCCCGTGGACCCACGGTTTTACTCTGAAGGATGGGTGTCCGGTCACCAAGGGGCACATTGGAATTTTGTTTCTGCTCATCCTGGGGTTCAGGAGTGACTTGGTATAAATTGCTTCGAGTTTCATTTTCTAGATCTCTAATTTCTACAATGGAAACCTGTGTTTAGAGCTTCACATTGTAACCTAAGCACATGTTCTGGTGGCCAGAACAGGTGTTTAGAAATTAACAGGAACACAATAAGAAGCTCTATCAGTTTTTTAAATGGATGCTTATAAAACTAACCTAACTCAAGCTTATTACCTGATTATTTTGTGGCAGTGAAAGAATGCTGCCTTGACGTTTTATTTCTTTTTTTTCCACTTTGATTTCATATTTGAGGCTTTGCCCAAGAATCAATGAGTAGAAAAGAATAATGAAGTCTATTATCTCCAAAGAAGTTTCAACCTAGGATTCCTCCTAAGTACCCTTAAAGAGGATGACTTCTCTCACAAGAGTGATAACATGAGAAAGAGTCTAATATTATGTACTAAATCAGAATCTCATAGGAATTCAGCCTGAGCAGTTAAAAAAGCAGTATAAACTTGAACCTGACAGCTGAGATCTCAGAGCCTGGACCCAGGCTCAGAACAAGGCCCTGCTTCAGTGAGCTTTTGTTCCCTTGCTTCCAGTAAATACATTTCTGATTTGGGGGGATAAAGAATTTTCACTTTTATGTTTGTGAAAAGTAATCATCATACAAATAATAATGCAAACATGATATTGCTCTAAGGCCCTAAATATAATTTCCTTTCCCCGCTTCAATTTTCAATAGAAGCACAAGCACAAATATCACAAATGTGTTTGGGGTTAGAAAGTCATGCTTTTATGCCGTGTTTCTATCCCATTTTAAGTTTCTTTAGGCCTCTATCAGTTACGATACCAGCTGCTAGAATGAAACAAAACCCTCATGTTTTCAGTGGCATAACACGATAGAAGTGTATTCTTTGCTCATCTAAGAGTTCAGATGCTCTTGGCCAGGAGTCAACTTTCCTCCATGCAAGGATCTGGAAGACCCAACTTGCAGCTGCCTCGTAGCTAAGCATCCTCGGGGCTCTGGCAGAAGCGGAAAGAGGGAATAGAATGCCCGCTTCTGAACCAATCATCCCCGTCTGACAGGGACACACATGATTTTGCTACAATTCATGGACCGTCTCTAGCCACACAGCATCACCTCCTTGGTACAGGGATTGAAAATGGAATTCCTGGCTAGACAGTTGTTTCCCAGAGACAATGCTCCACCATGCAGGAGAAAGGATAAATGCCAGTGCACAGTTGGCCATCTCAGCCACAAGACAGGAGCCCGTGCCTTCTGCAAACGTGTTACTTACAGAGAAGTCTCACCACGTCAAACACTAACCATCGCCCCTTCCCCTAATGGCTATTCCTGGGGACACAGCTTTGTTAGGGAGGCCAGCTGCAAAGCCAGAGACACCCATGATACCAGTCATGTCCCCTAGTGTACATAACTATCACATTGAATCATCTAATCATCTAATTTTCTTCTTTCACTTCCATCTTCCCACTCAGACTGTTCTATAAAGGCAGTGAACTTGCCTGTCTTGCTGTCAATATCTTCCTAGTGTCTAACACTGCCCTGGCAGATTATAGCTGCTCAATAAATGTTTGAGAAGGAAGGAAGGATGAGAGAAAAGAGAGAGAGGGAGGGAGAGGCTTTGCTCTTTAGGGAGCTCAGTCTTACTACCTGTAATTTGCACCCTATGAGATTTTAAGAAAATAGCCAAGAAATGGGCCAGTCACACTTCAGGACCAAAGATTCATCCCTCTTTGGAATGATAGCAGTTCACCCCTGCACAAGCCCCCTAAGCAATCTCATTTCTAGGCAATACTACTCAACAGCAAAAAGGAACGCACTATTAATACATGCTACAACATGGGTGAACCTCAAGAGAACTGTGCTAAGTGAAAGAAGGCAGACGAAATACATACTCTGTGATTTCAATTATATGAAGTTCTAGGAAATGCAAAACAATGTATAGTGAGAGAATGTAGAGCATCAGTTTCTGGGCATAGAGGTGGGATGGGATAGGAAGGGGAGCAGTGAGTGGGTAGGATTACAAAGAGCGTAAGGTAACTTTTAGGAGTGGTGGATATGTTCATTTTCTTTGTCGTGGACATGGTTTCCTGGGTGTATACATGAGTAAAAACTTCTCAAATTATGCAGTTCAAAAATGTGGGGTCTGGGAGGTGCCTGTGGCTCAAAGGAGTAGGGTGCCAACCCCATAAGCCAGAGGTGGCAGGTTCAAACCCAGCCCTGGCCAAAAATTGCAAAAAAAAAAAAAAATGTGGGGTCAACTGTATGTCAACTATATCATAGTAAAGCTGTTTAAAAACAAGAAAAATAAATGTGATATTAAAAAGATACCAACCCCAAACTACATTGCTCCATCCCATCATTCTCAACCCTTAAGTAGTTTGTGTCTTTAAAAATAATTTATACGTAGACGTGTATCTGGTAAAGTTGGCAAGTGCATTCATGGAGCCTTTTGGAGAACAAGGTAATTCTGTAGATCCTTGTGTGGGCATGGCTTCCAGTTCAGAAGATGACAGAGCCATGGGGACAGACAGTGGGTCATTCAGACCTTCCACTCTTTGCGTGAGCGTGTGCGCGCGCACACACACACACACACACACACACACACACACACGCCTAATCTCTCACACTTTCCAATCTGCCTCTTCCCAGGTTCCGGGGCCAAACGCATAGGGCGCCCAGCCACCCCTCAGCGCTACCATGGCCGAAGACGCGGACATGCGCAATGAGTTGGAAGAGATGCAGCGAAGGGCTGACCAGCTGGCCGATGAGGTGAGGAGGGAAAGGAGGCATAACATGGGGGCTGAGAGGTTCGTCTTATTTAGGTTGGGTAGGAAACAGACTTGTTCTAAAGTCTCAAGTTTCCAAAAGAGTTGGGGTGTGGATATGATTTTGATTTCCTGTGCACGTAAGGCCTCTGCAGGCCACACTGGGTTGATAATTAAACCTACATACAACATGAAGTCTTGGCCCTACCTCCCAATTTCTAGAAATCTTGAGAAGTCAAGGTCCTCTGCAGAAAGCAGTATCTGGGGGTGTCTTATGTTCAGTGGTGTGCTGGAGCCACCCCAATTCCAAAAGCTGATTGTGAACATTTTGGGGGGCTTTGCAAGCTGGTGGCTAAACAGAGCCATTATTAACATGGGATTGTATAACCTGACAATGAGATTGTATTAAAACAAAAGGAAGAAATACTCAAAATTCATCACCTCCTAATTATTTTACTGTTATTTTACTACTGTCTATGCTCTTGAGATAAAGCCATTGTATCTGGAGGGTAGGAATACCATATAGTGGCAGATTACTGCATGTCTTCCCAACTTCATGTTCAAAGACATTATATTACAGTTAAAAATCAGACGGGGTAGAGTAATATTTATACCATGGGAACATAAACACTGCAGCCAGGGCTTAAGTTACTGTTTTCTGGATTGCTAGACTTAAGAAAGTGGGGAAAATACTAATAGGGCAGATTAAACTTAGAAGTGTGCTTGTCTTCAGCCATTATACTATGAATAATACCAAAAACTGGAGAAATCTTCCAGTATTTGGAAACTATGATTCTCTAAAGCAAAGAAATCCCTTTTGTCATGGGCAGACAAGAGCAATTCCGGCGTGTCTTTGTTGTTTCGTTTCCCTGTCGTTAATGAGTACTTACTCATCAACCTAGATGAAAATAGTCAACCTTCATTCATGCCAGAACTACACTTGTTCATGCTGTCGTTCGCAGCAGACACCAGAGTTCAGCAAAAATTAACAAAAGCTTTTGGTGAGGATCAATTGGCTATAAGGAATTTGCAATAAAGAGTATTATGTATTTTATTGTTATTTGTAAATTTTATTCATTCTTTATATTAGTAAAGTAATAATCTTTTCTTTCTTTTTTTTTTTTTTTCCTTTGGAAAGCTGGTTAAACATCTGCCGTGCTTACAGCCATTCTATTTCAAAAAGCAGCCGTGCTGACAGCTTTTTCAGGAATGTT